AACCTTACTATTTAATTACCGTTTATGTGCTGATGTAGGTAGTTTGCTGCACAATTTTACATAATATTAACATATCTTGATTTATTTGTAAAATGTGTTTACAATAACGAGGATTGCAAGTAGAAATTGCCAAACCTTAAACGGAGGTAAATTGTAAATTACCTTCTACAATTTATATACAAAACAAAATCAGGCTTTCCATTAGTAAAATTTCGAACTTTTTACTCATCTCAATTAAAATATGGATCGAACGGGCTAAAGAACAAGGAATGTTTTGCATGCATGGGCATGAACATGAACTCAGGATATAAGATTTCTGAATGCACATGATCATCAACATTTGTAAAAAAAGTGTTACATAAATTAACAATATTTTTACCATAAGTATTTTTTCTTTGTTTATGCAAGATTTAGAGGTATTTTTGTTTATATATTTTATTTTGAAAGTATTTTTCTTTGCTTCTTCAATAAAAGTCTTCTTAATTTAGTTCTATATTTTATAAATCTATTTTTTCATTACAAGTTCGCAGTTTTTTTTGTATTTTAATGTAAAGTTCCCCTTTTTAATTAGTAATAGATTCCATGAGCCCATAATACAAAATATTCTTTGTTTTATCTTTATTGTACTAGTATTGTTCTGGACTAATTTTATTTTAATATCTACCTATATACCTTTTTGAGATTTTTTTTTAGAAAAATTCAACTTTAAAAAATGGTTTATGATAAACAATAATTTGTTATTTCTAAAGAATGTAGCTACATTTTTTACTTTCCTGTTTAAGTAAGAAAAGTATAAGAATTGTGATTTTTTTTTCGACCTCGAGTTTTCCATTGATTTTTGTTTTTGGGGTCCCTTGAATCAGTTTTTCCCATTTTTGCAATGATGTCTGTGTGTCTTTATCCACAATAACTTAAAAGTAGATAAAGAGAACTTAGGATTTAATCCATTTTATGGAGAGCTGACTAGATTTTGAGCATAGTCTTAGCATTAGAGATACTTTATAGTGGTAATTTTTCTACATTAAGGTATACTTCTGTTATTTATGATTATAGAAAAAAATTCTTTCAATAAAAGTTGTTTGTGATGCCATTTTCTATAATTTTTTCGTTATATAGTTTATCTAAAATATACTGTAATAAATAAATATGAAAAAATTGCTAAATTTGAATTTTTAAGTATTTTCATTGGCAATGAAAATATCTTTTAATTCATATTCTGAACAGTTTTTGATTAGATGGACCGTACTCAAAATATTTTTAATAACTTTACAGGAAAGTCATGTATGTGTTGGGCACATCATATTTTTTTGTCTTATCTCAAAGATTAGTTACTGGTAAGATAGGACAACCTGCATATTTACTTGAAAGTTTTAACATAAACCTAGTTTGAAGTGTAAATACAATAATAGGTTTGATGTCAGGCTTTATAGAAACATTTACACAATAAGCCTCTAAAATCAGTACCTACTTATTATGTTAACGTTAAGTTGCCAAATCTTCGAAAGTAAAAACCAAACCGACTGTTTATCAGAGAAGTCTGTAGGACTGGCAAGATTGTAGATGATTACTAATAATTTCAATCAAGCCAAATCATGGACTAGAATTTGCAGGGCTACATTTACATTATATTAATCTTTTCTGAATGTGCTATCTTAGCATTATTAATATTTACTTATCTTTTGTTCTAAACCTAGAAGGTTGAGATAAATAAAAATAAATAAAATACCTTCAGTTATCTTTGTTTCCTTCTATTATTTCATTATAATTCTGGAATATGAGCTAACTGGATAAATCTATGAAATTAAGTTATCTTCATCACAAGTAGAACAAATAAGGTAAAATAAGTACCGAGATAAAATTTGGAATAGTCAGCTAAGACTGAGATGTACTGCAAACTAAACTACTCCTAAAAAACTGCTTTGTCTCAACTCTCAACCAATAATCAAAGTAAAAACTTAGTATGGGATAAAATTTTAAATTATTCAATTTTAAAATTTTGATCACTAGTATTTGAATGATCTTCTTTTAATATGTATGTGAGTTGAGATTTTTCTACTACTGTGGCAGGTATATTTTAAAAAAACCAGTACATAACAAGCAATTTTAAAATCAAATCACCATGACTAGGAGAATCATCAACAGTGATTTATTTGTAATTTTTGTAAATGAGATTAATAAAATATTAATATTACATTAATCAGATATTTTCCAATATTTCGTATTTGTAAATAGGGCATTTGATTTAATACAGCTTACTTACATAAGGAGTTTATTATGTGTTAACAAAAAGAAAACGTATCTCAAGAGCTAGAAACTATGTTATTGTGTATTATTAGAGAAGGTTGTCTTATTCTTCCACTTTCTTTTCTTTAAAATATGCAATTCCACAATTTAATTCGAGTTCTATATCGTTTATTATGCTCATTAGTAGACCTCTACCCGAGCCTCTACCCAAACAAAATAAGCCAAATTAAAAATTGATTGATAACTACAAAACTAACCTATACCAATTTTTGGCGAACTCCCGGTGATCAAACGGTATTACCCGCATCATTTTCGCGACGTGAACCGCTCAAGGGGAAGTGTAATGACGTCATTCACTGACGTCATTGTTTGCTACCGCCGTGATGAATCTGTTCCCGGTCTCTTGAGGTGGTGAACAAACGGTTGATAGTGACAGTTGATGTTCATAGCATTCTGTAATACTGTAATACCGTTTTGTTTTGGAATTTTTGGTAGCTGTCAGAGTTGCATTTTATTTTGTACGTTCATATTTTTATTTTATGTATAATAGTTTTCGTTGAACTGTCCTAAATTCTATTTAAATTTGTTATTTAAAAGAAAAATTGTGTGTCTTCCTCAATATTAGATTTTTCACAGTTTGTTTATTGTAAAATACCTTTTAAATACACATAACATAACCTCGTTTATCTAAAACGTTGACGATTGACGTAAACCGGTTCATTTTTGCGAAGAATTTTATAGAAACCGAGACACAATAGTGGGGGCATTTGACATGTCACGGTTTCTGTGTCACTGTTTATCAACGGGAGCACGCCAAAAATAGCTTCTAAAGACAACTGTCATACCAGCGAATTCCGTGACGTCACATCCATGATGTCACTACCATGATTTTTAACGTGTGGCTAGCCACGGCGTTATTTTAAATTCATGTTTAACGGCTTTTTGAATAAAATGTAGGTACTATGTTTCTTTTAAAAAAATGGTAGAAACGCTAATGGTTACTTACTTGTGAAATGCCCTTGACGATGCCTTTTCTTATTTCTATTTACAACTTACACAAACTCTCACCATTGTTAAAATTTCAGTAATTATGGTATGCATGTCAGCATTTTCAATTTGAAGTTAGACATAAATTTACTTTGCACTTTATGCAGTAAACCTGGGTCTCAGATTTATACCCAGGTAACACGCACGTTCTTTTTCAACTACGGTCTAATTGATCTGGGCGATGACCAATGTGATCGAACCGAGCATCCTCTGGAATATCATACATGCGACGAATACCAGATGATTGTTTAGCTACTTTTTTGGAGACGTGAGATGGTCGACCAACTGGTTTCTTGCCTGGAAGTGTCTGACTCATCATCAACAAACGAGCAACTTCAATTCTGAAAGTCGCCATATCAAAATAATCTGATCGACCTGCATGAACGGATCGATAAAGAAGGTAGGCATTTGTCAAGGAGATATCCAGCATATGATAGAAGACTAATTTCAAACAGGCACTTTTGGCCTTCAAACGACTGTGGTACCGACACATTAGACCATCCATCAGGTCAACACTACCCATATGATGATTGTATTCCCGGATGATTCGAGGGCAGTCAATTTCACCGTAGGTCTTTTCGGTTTGGAAGTAACGGGCGACTTTGTCTGGTTACTTATTCGGATTCGCAAAACAAAAGGTTTTACAATTACATAGGTTTTTAATATACCTGAATTTGAGCAGCTTCTAATGGATTCGATTGATCAGGCTCAGGTGAAGGTGGTGTTGTCTCAGCTAATAACGACTTAGAGATCTAAAACCATTATAAGCTTTGATTGAAATGAAAGTACATGAATTTTATTCTTAGCGGAATTTGAGCAGCTTCTACAGGATTCGATTGACCAGGCTGGTAAAGTTCCCTCATGCTGAAACTAATGTTGATTGCGTCTGATAACAAATCGGTTTCTGATTCTATCAGTGTGTCAACTACTGCTTCGTCTTCTTGTGAAATTTGCCAGTCTTGATCTTTGACACTATCGTCATCAATTCATATCAATTCAAAGATTTTTTCGAACATCAGTGTAGAGAACAACTTTATTTATTGGCTTTTCTTTTGAATGCATTTCTGTACAAAAAAAAAACTGAAATAAATACACTAAGTAATACTGAAATGATCCATTATTTCATTTACTATGAAATAAAATTGTTAAAATACGATACAACAAAGATAAATCATGAAACAGATATGAAAATAAACAAAGAAGTAGCAATTACAGGTGAATTCATTTGTGCTTAAAAATTTAGCATACACGGGAATACCCGACAAAAGGCAGGCTCCTAATAGCTCAATCAAATCACTATTTCTAATTTAAAAACACGAAAGTTATTTTATATTAGGAAAGTACACAGTTAAGACCAATTTTTTTTTTACTCCGGTAGCACCAAGAGAAATATTTTATTTAATTTCACAAAAAATGTCAATTTTCAACCCTAATTTATACGTGTTGGTTCACAAACAGATGAACTTCAATTGGCGACAGACCCAAAACAAAATACGGTACAAATCTCAAATTTATTCCAGCAAGTAAATATCGACCATTTATAAAAATTTAATTGAAATCGGCCAAAGTATTTAATAAAGAGAAACTATTTTTTAAAGAAACTTCAATATCCTGTGTCTAGCAAAATAAGTGTTTTCGAAAACACATTTATACGAAATTTTTCTAAGCTTAAATTTTCACGCATTAATAAAAAATACTGAACACACAATATGACAATACCTCTTTCATGCCAGTCCTGGAAATTGCAATCAGTCAATTCAAAGTGTCACTTTTTCATTTATAATTTTAGTTTGGAATACATATGGGATTTTGGAGAAAGGTAACAATGACAGAAAATTTAATATTTATTTATAAAATTTTAGTTTTTAAGTGAAGTTCATCCATAATCAAATGTTACAAGATGTATTAGATACAACCAAAAAATACTAGAAAGTCATATACATATTTACTGTGACCAAGACTGAGTATTTTTTAGTTTTTATTTACAGTGCATACCTATATCTATATAACTGAATTACTTCTTAGAACTTAGGGGTTTACACAAGTGGCATATTTAACATTTTAAATCCTAGGTAGGATTCCCCACTCCGACCATTCACTGTGGGAAACAGTAACAAAACCTACACACAACACACATAAAATAAAATTAAACACAAATTGAGACTGGCATATTAGGTGTATACCTTTCCTATCAGATTTACCAATACAAGTTAGAATAGTGCAGTATATATTATTTCCTACTACTTTTTTCCTGAATAAAATATTTTTTTTCAGGAATGTACAAAGACCATTTTACAAAGATGTTGTACTTACAAGGAAGAACCTAATCTGTACAAACAGTCCACCAGTTCTTATGAAGACTCCACGCTTCTCACGAAAATCTTAATCCACATCAGCTTCTGGATCCTTCAGTTCTTGGCTTGTGTCAATGAAACGCTGTTTTCCTGGACGAAAATCAAGGAAAAACACCGACATGGTAGATACCTGCACACTATTTTATTATTTTAATCAATAATAGACATAATTAGGCATTCCAACGACCTGTCCAAAGGGCTACCAGTGGGTAATGACAGTTTAGATATGGCAACCCTGTTATCATGTTGTCATTAACAGGGTCAATGATACATATATAGTTATATAGATTGCTCAAAGCTGGTCGTTTACGAGCGGCCATATTGCCTGGCAAATATTTATTAATTTGAATCGGTTTAGCAAAAATGTGTTTTAAAACCAATTTTTAGCCTTTAGATATTTAAAAAAAAAATAATTGCTTACATTTTTACTTCAAGGCATACGCTTATGTTTATTTTGAAAAATATGGATAATCAATCTATGTAACTATCTATTTCATTAACCTTGTCAAATCACCAGGTCTACAGGGTTGCCATAATTTTGCAATATCATAACCCGTCAAAGCCCACTGGTAGCACATACTTTGATTTTCTTTTACTATACGGAGAATGGTCGCACTGCGCAGCTTTCTGAGTGCCTTTTAAAAGGAGATAGAAAACTCCGCCATTTTGAACCCTTATTACGTGTTGCCTACATCTTGGCGCAATATTTTTAATATGTGCGTTTTAATCATCCGCTTCTGCTTCGGAATTATCGGTTTTCTTGTTTTAATCTGACAGGTTAAAACGACTAAACCGACAATTCCGGAAGCAGAAGCGGATGATTAAAACGCACCTGATATTTTGCTTGCTGCTGTCAGTGTCAGTGAATATTATTTTTGAAGTCACAGTTTATTGCTAAAGAATCAGTTAGCTCACTCGGACCAGTTGAAAGTTCCAAAATAACATCCATTCCAGGGATACAAATTCAGGATACGCAGAAGACTGCTGTTTTATTATAGGCGGTTGTCATATATTCTATTATCCGAGTTGCATAGTGTATAAACTGAAACATTGAGATCAAAAGTGCCGACGCAGAGTGAGCGATCTGATTCTTTAGCTGTAAACTGTGTCACAGGGTTCAAAATGGCCGCGCCCTATGTTGGGCGTGTCGGACCTCTCTCTTGTCTCGTATAGTAATCAAAGTATGTGATGCACGTTACAGTTAGGCACGCATTGATATAGAACAAACAGGAGTGCGTTTAGAAACCCCGCACGGCGCGTCTCACCACATACATTAGAATAGGGTCCAGACGCGCCGTGCGTGGTTTCTAAACGCACTCCAGGAGATGCTATGACGATGCTAAAGTGTCCGCACTACACTTTTACGTCATATGTCAAAACCGAGATAGTGGAGTTTTGGTGAAAATTAATGCAATTTTTGTTAAATAGCTTCATTTAAATGATATAAAATAATTTTCATTCCGTCAGTCTTCAAAACATAAAATTATTGATTTCAAAGAAATCAAAGTACAACTCAAATCGCCATTTTAATTACACTTTTCCGTCACTCGAAGTACGACCATCTGTCATACCGAAAAAGAGTGTTTATGTCATTTCTACTTTATTCTATCTCGATGGGTGCACGATACTATGTAGATACTATGTAGATACTATGTAGATACTATGTAGATACTATGTAGATACTATGTAGATACTATGTAGATACTATGTAGATACTATGTAGATACTATGTAGATACTATGTAGATACTATGTAGATACTTTGTAGATACTATGTAGATACTATGTAGATACTATGTAGATACTATGTAGATACTATGTAGATACTATGTAGATACTATGTAGATACTATGTAGATACTATGTAGATACTATGTAGATACTATGTAGATACTATGTAGATACTATGTAGATACTATGTAGATACTATGTAAATACTATGTAGATACTATGTAGATACTATGTAGATACTATGTAGATACTATGTAGATACTATGTAGATACTATGTAGATACTATGTAGATACTATGTAGATACTATGTAGATACTATGTAGATACTATGTAGATACTATGTAGATACTATGTAGATACTATGTAGATACTATGTAGATACTATGTAGATACTATGTAGATACTATGTAGATACTTTTAAATATTATTAATATCGAGAAAAAAAAACCAAAATAAAAAATAATAAACATTTTTACTTCAAGGCATAAGCTTATGTTTATTTTGAAAAATATGGATGATCAATCTATGTAACTATCTATTTCATTGACCTTGTCAAATCACCAGGCCTACAGGGTTGCCATAATTTTGCCATATCGTAACCTGTCAAAACCCACTGGTAGCCATTGTTTGGAATGCCTAGTTACGGATCATGAGATACAGCTCGCTGACAGACAGACGAATAGACAGCGAAGGCTTAGTAATAAGGTCCCGTTGGTAACCCTTCGGGTACGAAACCCTAAAAAACTAATGTACGAACCAGAGATAAGGGAGATAAAGATAGGAAACGCCCATAAGAAGCCAATGTTTAACAACGACCAGCTTTATCGTAGTTAACATCTGACCCACTATGTGGCGCTTTCATCGATATCAAACAACGCAGCGGGAAATTTAAAAACCTGAAAATAAAGGTTATATAAATATCGAGTGCACTCTCATGTTCTTTTAAATAAACTTAAACAAAGTAATTACGCTAAATTATTTATTAAAAAGAATACAACACTTACAGTCTATTATCGATTAATTATTGTAAATCTATATTCATGACAAATATTTTTTTAATTTTTGATTGTTATTTGTAACATTGCATTTTTGTTATTATTTTCCAAACGAATGGCCAATGATTTAAAAATGTTGAGTGCAAATTCAATAATGGGAATTCAGATATTTTTCGTCCTATATCAAATCTTCTTTCTAACGTTTTGAAGCCATTTTCTTGTTCTAAAACAATAAATAATACATAAATACCTACTTTCTGACAAAAGTTAAATACTTTTTGTGTTACTTACATGAATAGATCTTACGTACTTTGGTTAATTAAAGAACGCCACATTGGGGTTGTTAAATTTGTTCATGTGGTATGTGTTACTAATGCAATACGTTCCCCGACTTATTGTAATATTACAAAATATAATTATTGTCCTCAAATTTCAAATAAAAACAGCCACAACTATTTCGCTTAGTTCATCTAGAGGATAATACAATCATGAACTCAAAATTTCAGGATTCTTCGACATACATAAAACTAACTGACATTTATATTTACAAACTGTCCACTCCTGTCCACTTCTACTGTCTGTCTCAGTGTTGCCAACCGTACGATTTAAATTGTATTTATACGATTTTTTAATTCTCTGTACGATGTACGATTGCATCAGTGAGATCGTACCACAGACCTTGATCGTACGTAAAAATATTTAAATATCTGCAACAACTTCAGAACATAAAACAATAAAACTCAAAAACTACTTGCAAAGATTCATAGGCCGTTCGTAATTTCTGGAAGCAGTCATTTTCGTTCTGACATCGTGATTTAGATCATGGTGATTTTGTACACCGACTATCACGGCATAAGAAAAGCTAGCATACAAAATTTCAATCACTTTCAAGTGACAGTCATTGATTACTTTAAATGTATTAATTTAAAGTTTCATGTATTTTCTTTAGTTTTTTTTCGTTGTAAACATTTTTATAAATAGATAAATAAATTATCATGCCAAAGTTTTTTTTATCATTCCATATAAGTTATATTATGCTATGCATGTATCTATTGTACATTTTTTTTTGTCGAAATACCATTTTTCTACTATACTTCTACGATCTCTGAAAAAATATTTGGCAACACTGGTCTCTCTACAAATGACGTAGACCTGTAGTTAACATCTGAGACGCTAGATGACACCACCGTTGCTGCGGTCGTTGCGTTTCCAATCTTTATGTCCCTAATCTCTGGTACGAACCTCAACAGAATATTTTCGGTCGCCTCGCTTTGTATTTCTGTGACGTCACACCCCTTTGTCAACGGCAAATATTATAGATTATAGTTGTACTTGATATAAAAGTAGCATTCTGTGGGTTAGTCAAAAGAACAGAGACAATGAGAACAGTGACAACGTAATTAGAGGCAAATAAATTCCCTGCTAAAATAAGACTTATTGCAAATCTGAAATTTTGAGATTAGAATCGTTGTCCTTACATATTTCTAACCTCATTTTAAAAATTGTAAATTACAGTTTTTCTTTTTTGTTGTTTATAAAAATATTTAATAAGGAAGAGGCATTGGAAATTGACATTTTAGAAGGTTTAGATGACGATGATATTAAATATTTAATATTAAAAAACGAATGTTGGCGAGTGCACCCGTAAACTATAAAGTCGCCACTAACTGCTGTCCTTAAACATCCACAATTAAGGACAGACACAATCAGTCAGTTCTAGAATGTAGTGTGCATGCTCAGATGTCAAAATAAGAGCAGCACTAATAGTGACTGACCTTAAGTGAACTTGCAATAACTCTCTATTATAATCTTAGAACCTTATAGAACACGGCTGGTGAAAATTATTGGAGAAGACTCCTAGCAATAGCTGATCATTAATTCTATCAGCGGTTTTACTGTAATAAGGAAGTAAGAAAATAATGAGGATATTTTTATCAGTTGCAATAATATCATCAGTGTCGAATTGCAACTGTACTTGCGTCTAAAGCAGGAATACTTCGGGTATTATGCGATTTTCATCTAAATGACTCTGTATTTGTTCATATAAGATTTTTTCATGTATTTTATATATAAAATACTAATTGGAAGCTTGCATTGATATGGAGACGCTGTCCACTAGACGCTCTTTTCCAAGAAAAATATCTTTCGGGTTAGGTTCTACTCAAGACATCTATAAATTTACATTCTTAATTCTCTTCTTTCTTCTCTATCATTCCTGCATTCTCGATGTTTTCAAATGTTGCCACCTCCTCCAACTTCGAAATAACATCCTGCACCTCTCCTGTCTTTCATTTCTGATCGGAAGTTTCTTTTGATTCGATTCTTTTATTTAATACATTCTACAGGGACAAGCTCCTTCAGCTTGTCATCCCAGGATCATCATAAACCAACAATTCCATTTTTACCATAGTTCTATACCAACTTCTTGATCCTGGCCTAAAAAAAGTTATCTCATGGTCAGTAGCGTCCCAAAGGAGTTTGTTTCTATATCAGTATATCTTTGTATTGAGTAGGGTTTTTAACTTTTCTCAAAAGCAGTACCTACGTGGACAGATTTTTATTGGGATAGAAAATTGGACGTGCTGATAATGCCAGTAATATATTTCATGATATAGGAACAAGAATACAGACGATTTAATATAAATGTATTATTTTTCGTACAATAAAGCATTAATTAGTTCATAAAATTAAAGTGAAGAGAGTAAAAACTGAAAACAGGGACCCTCTTTAGCCTAGAAAATTCAAAGTGAATCCATTAGCTGGGAAATCACTGCCCTTAGTTTTTTGGGATGCTGTAGGGCTAATTTTGATTAACTATCAACAGCAGAGGGTGCTACTATAGCAATTCATAGATCTACTCTCGTATTTTAGCAACGCTTTTGTTCATGTACAATTAGTTTATATAAGTCAATTAGTTTCAGCATTACTTATCATATCTAATCTCTCTGTTATTTCCTAAACAAAAAATTATTTATTGAATACAAAGGAGTGGCAACCTTCGGATTTTGTGGCAAATTTAGGTGTCCCACAGGGAACTTATTTAAAGCCATTAGCATATCACAGTTAAATATATCGACTTTATACACTTTACACTTTTATAACATTTATAAATAAATAACAATATTTGTAACGAAAACTCTTATTTTTAGGATATTTGCCACTGCATGATAAGATGTTTTCCTATTATTTGAGATATATTGTTCATAGAGTGGTAGATTGTTGGTCATATCCAATTTGTAGTGCACCAGGAGGAGTAGTGGAGTTGAGAAATAGAACTAGAAACGGACTGGGACAACCTTTTTAGTAAATATATTTTAATAAGTTAATCTACCCTGAATATTTAAAAGGGTATATATTTTTTTATTTATAAATGCCCCTAGTGAAGAGAGTAAAAAGAAGAATTGTGATTATTTTCTTCGTTTGACGTTCAGCCATTCATAACTTTCAATTTCGGCTAACTAATTTGGTATTTAATCGGATATTCTTGAATATTTATGGGTTACCTAACTCTACTAATAAAAAAAAGTGTATTTTATGTTGTAATTGTAACTTTTCTGCTCAAAGATGTACCTAAATTATTTGTTTTTCTGCTTCTGTACTGTCAGTTTGACAGAATATTTCTTCCAGGGCACGTTCGTAATATTTAAAATGTTAAACTGACCATCTATGCAAGTATTACTACTGATTATTACATTAATAAGATCCATAAGCTTACCTAGAGCTGAAAAGCTTAATAAATTAAGGTCCTACTCACTAGTATACTTTATATAATTACTTACCCTACTATTAACGTATGGCACTAAACCACAACTATACTCTACTTATAGTTAATATCACTGAATCAACTTAAAAGGCTTGTTTCTTTTGAGTAATCTCACTAGGCTGGACAATCTCAATGCTCCCATGTTGAAGGCATCCTTCTTAGTCATTGCTAAACAATTTTTGCTATTGTCATTTCAACAGTATCCACTAAGGTCCCTTTGGAAATCAGTATTGCGGCAGTACCAGCGTGCGTCGACCAGAATTACGTATCATCAGCAAACGTTGCGATGGGACTGTAAAATTAGGAATTTCTTTGGCATACAGTAAGTAAATATGGTATCTAGTACAATAACTTGAAATACTCCGGTTTTGATTTATTTTAGATTAGAATATGCTTCTTCCGGTTTTATTCTGACATACCTTTCTGATAAATACAATTATTTGAATAGTTCTGAACACTGACGTGACAATAACATGTTCAGTTCATGAATCAGGCCTTTATGCCATACTCTGTCGAAAGCATCCCAAAAATCGGTTGGCGTAAACTCTTTCTCTTCTAGAAGCTTCTCGGTGATATCTGTGATTCTGTGAGCTTGGTCGATAGTTGAGTGTTTTTTCAGAAGTCAAATTGATGGGAGGGTATTAGGTTCTTTTCTTCTATTATAGGTTTCAATTTTTTAAGAAATTTTTCGTAGAATTTCGAGGCAACAAGTAACAATTTCTCCGGTGGTGAGGTCAAATTTGGGGGCCTTTTCGGATTTGTTTGTTTGGATTTCTATATAAACCTCTTTTGGAGAGATATGTTAACGACTGTGAACTGTGTCTTCCTTTACTAGTTCCATCTAGACTTAAGATACTAATTATTATTGGCTTGAAAATATTCTTTATACGTTCGGGCCTAGTTTCCTTTTTTTATTTCTAATTAGTGGGTTATGTACAGTAGCTCTTCTTAATCGGTTAGTAGCTTTTCAAACTGAGTAATCTGTTATTATTATTATTATTTAAGCAACCTTTTATATGTTGTTGGTAGTTACTAAATTACACCTTTTAAAATATTCATGGTGGTTCTTCTTTAAAAGAACCCAGTTATTAAGGCTTTTTTTGCAGCTACACAGGCTCAACGACGAAATGCATAAACCTCGCTTCCTACAACTACTTAGGCTTCGCTGAGACGACCGGACCTTGCGCAGATGCAGCCGTTAAATCCATCTACACCTACGGAATCAGCACCGGAAGCACGCGGCAAAAAAACGGCACTTGTCCCATTCATGACGAACTAGAAGAACTTGTAGCAGAATTCCTGGGAGTGGAAGACGCTGTTGTTTTTGGAATGGGTTTCGCTACCAATACTTTGAACATTCCGTTCATCTTGAACGAGGAATGTCTGGTAATTAGCGATGAGAAGAATCATAACAGTTTAATTCTCGGGATTAAGCTGTCTGGAGCTAGGATTAAGGTTTTTAAACATAACAGTAAGTTTCCATAATCAATAATTAGGCTACAAGTAATAGAAGAGAACCCTCTAGTGATCTAGAGGTTCTATTTAGTATTTTCCCAAAAATGTTCGATTATTAATTATGTTATGCTAGATACTGATGATCTGGAACAGCTGCTGCAAAAAGCGATTTACTTCGGCCAACCCGATCAAGATGGTAACTTTAAGCAATGGAAAAAGATATTTGTATTCGTGGAAGGGATATACAGCATGGACGGTACCATTTGCAGGCTTCCTGAAATTGTAGCGTTGAAAAAAAAGTACAAAGCTTATTTATATTTAGATGAGGCGCACAGTAGTGGAGCGATGGGCAAGACCGGTCGAGGAGTAGTGGAATATTTCGGATGCAGTCCTAAGGATATCGATATCTGGATGGGGACTTTCACCAAGAGTTTTGGATCTACTGGTGGGTTCATTGCTGGAAGCAGGGTAAGTAGATTACAGACATCGTTTTGTATGGTGTACCTCTACATTGTTCTCGTATTCTTTTAGTTATTTAGTTGTTCTCATCTACTTTTTGCTCGTTTTAACTTTGTTTTTGGTAGGTTTAGTACGCCATATTAAACCTTCTTCTGTGTTGCAGAAATTTATCACTCACGTGCGTGATCATAGTTACGCATCTCGCCACGCTTGGGCGATGTCGCCACCATTAGCTGCCCAAGCGATAGCTTCTATGAGAACCATTATGGGTAAAGATGGCACGGACGAAGGACAGAACAGATTGAAGAAATTGGCTAGGAATACTAGATATTTCAGGAGGAGAGTAGAGCAAATGGGGTTGATAGTACACGGAAATCAGGATTCTCCTGTTGTGCCCATTTTGGTGTATTTTTGGTGTAAAATTGCGTAAGTTCAATATCTACCGTCAGATGAATATTAAGTCACGTAAACGATTGTATTTTAGAATTCTCACTAGAACTTTGATGAAAGAGAATATAGCCATAATTGGAGTGGGGTATCCGGCTACGAGCCTGACGGAAATGAGAGTAAGGATATGCTTGTCTTCTGCTCATACCAAGGAACAACTGGATCACGCTTTGGAAGTGTTGGACAAAATGGCGGACGAATTGGGCTTGAGGTATTCCCGAAAAGCCATCGATTATACGCCAATCGACTATTATAAAATTATAACGCATCATGATTTATAATATAAAGTAGTTTGGAAAGTTTTTGTTTTTTTTTTTCAATTTTTTATGTTAAAGGATTCTCATACTTTATGATGTGTCCACTGTGAGAGGTTTTCTCAACTGGTTAGAAATACTCTTGCTTGTGACGTTCAAACTGGGGGTGCTCGGACGCCAGTTTGTTTTAGACTGGTTTTCTCCACTTTTCCTGTTGGAACAAGTTCCAAGTGAAGACAAAATTCCAAAGGGTCAACGATATTATAGTAGTAATGTAGTACCTGAAAAGAGGGATTTACGACAAGGGAATGAATTGCCAGGTTTCAATTTGACACTTATATTGTTCAATATTTACAAACGTTTCGGTTGATATTTGGTGAAGCTAAATACTTACATTTACAAGCCCTCCCCAAGTTATTGGATCTACTAACCCTACAAATTAAAAAAAAAAAATTAATGCCCAAAATAAAATAAAAACTTAATCGGACAAAAGAGGCGTTTATGAATAAAACGAAGTCAGGAAAACGGTGGTCAAACCAGAAGTACTACGAGGCATTGTAGCAAGTCTACGTTCTTCGGGAAATATAGAGACATGGCGGGGAGTGGACAGGAGTGGAAGTAATGTGTGCAACAGAGAAATTGCAAATCTAGCTACAGCCTAACGGACCACAAGATACGCGACCCCCTAAGGATGGCGCTTCAGGCTATATAACCTAGTATAAACCAGAGCGAAGCTGAATCAGCCCATTCTACCACGCGGGATAGTCACTATACATCGACTTACAATTCAGTTAATGGAAAAGAAATTAGAAATTTAAATTCAGATCTGTAGTAGAGTCAAAATCTTACAAAAATCATGAATAATTTCAAATCGAAAAAGAAAAACATATTATTTATTTATTAAAAAATATATATTATAATAATAAAATAACAAATATAATATACAAAAATACTTCTTAACACTGATCCATTTCCTTTATTTCAAATCAATAAAATTGATTTTTAAAACATTTATTACCCAGAGTATCTAAAAATATTTTAGACGTATTTTTTTGGTTCAAACAATTTATTCTACTCCTACTCTTAGCCCATAAACGATAATTTGTAGAAAAAACTTGTTTGAGACATCTTATAGAAAATTTTATATCGAATAATTTTTATTAAAATAAATTTTTCTCTACGGTGTGTTTTTCAAAAGATATTTACAAAAAAACGAATTTTTTTGAGAAACATTTCAATAATACAAAAAATACTTCTTAAGATTGATCCATTTTCTTTAGTTTAAAACCGATAAAAATAATTTCACAGATGTAGGTCCGTTGTAGACCCAATGTAGTGCCAATATAACATATCAAACATACCTAATTATTTGGTGTAGACCCATTGCAGACCCAATGTAGCGCCATTATAAACATACTAAACGTTTTAAACATTATAATTAAGGCCCATTGCAAACTCCAATTTCTAACGCATTGAGGTAAAAATTTGTTCCATGGATTTTTTAGAAAATTTTATATCGAATAATTTTCTATATACTTCATTTTCTCTAAGGTGTGTTTTTAAAAATATATTTTCAAAAACTGATTTTTTGAGAAGAAATTCAGATATACAAAAAATACTTTTAAATGTTTTATTTAGTTCTAATTCAATAAAAATAATAAAATTTCACAGCGTATCTAAAAATATTCCGAATGAATCTTTTTCCAAGTTAAAAATAGTATATTATGCAACGATCATGTAATGATGGTTATTAATACACGAGCATTAACCGGGATACGAAACGAGCCAAAGGCGAGTTTCGTATGGTTTATGCGAGTGTTTTAATAACCATTACATGAGAGTTGCATACGCTATTTTTTCTACACCCGATAAATAATCAAGACCTATAAATATTATATTTATATTGGTATTGAACACAATAACAGTAATTACTCGTATTTCTATAAAAAATTCTACAAAATTGTAATTAATGGTATTACTTCAGGTATTGGTATTTCCCTAGATTTTTGCGGTAAAATATTTTGTACTGTATTTTCTGCTTTCTCCGATATGTGTGGAGGAGTCTTCTATATCGCTAATATCAGACATTTTAATATTATAATTATCGAAGTTTAGCTACCTACGAAAATTTAATACGTTTTGACAACTAAAATAATTACATAGGAACCTAGGACAAACGTCAAACAGCATGCTTGATTGAAAAATTGTAGGTTTCTATTGATTAAAAATCTGTATCGTAATGAAAAATCTGTATCATAATGGGTATCATTATGAAACGGATTATGGGCATATAAGTGCATTGTTATAATACGGGTGTAGAAAAAATTTATTATAATCCTATTTTAGCACCTAAACGGTAGGTCGTAGAAAAAAATCTGTTTGATATATCTTGTAGAAAATTTTATATGGATAAATTTTCTTTATAATTGATTTTTCTAAGGTGTTTTCAAAAACTGATTTTTTGAGAATTACTTAAAACAATACCAAGCAATAAAGAAAACATATAAAAGTTTTCCCATTATACCCCATTTTTCTCAAAACCCATCATCAATTGTCTCCTTAGAAACGTACAAAAAATACTTCTTAAAACTAATCCATTTAATTTAGTCCAAAATCAATAAAAATTATTATTAAAAACAGCGCATCTAAAAATATTCTAAATATATTTCTTTCCAAGTTCAAAAAATGTATTATACTATTTCTAGCGCCTAAAAAGTAAGTCGTAGAAAAAATTTATTTGATGTATCTTGTAGAATTTTTTTATCCAATAATGTTCTTTATAATAGATCTTTCTCTAACATGTGTTTTTAAAAAGATATTTACAAAAAAATGATTTTTTTGAGAATTACTTAAAACAATACCAACACATATAAAAGTATTACTATTATACCCCATTTTTCTCGAAACCCATTTTCAATTGTCTCCTTAGAATCTTTCCAGAGGGATTCTTGGGGATATTTTCCAAAATTTGCACGCCTCCTTGGAGTTGTTTATAAGGAGCTACTTTTACCGCCACATATTTCTTCAAATCTTCTATATCTAACGTAACGTCCTTCTTCGGTACTATATACGCCCTAGGGACTTCACCGTATTTAGAATGTGGAATGCCGATGACTGCAGCGTCCTCTATGGACGGATGGTCCCTGATTACTGCCTCCAGTTCCGCTGGAGCCACTTGATAACCCTTCACCTATACAAATTAACAAGCATTGTAATTATATGTCAACAAGTTCAACGCAGAACGTATGGATATCTTTTAGTATAAAGTTTGATGTAAATAAGAAACTACAGTTGGCTCTAAGTTGGAATCCTGAGGCACACCGGACACCTGAATAGATATGTATCTAGGTGAGCTAAATGAGGTTATACTTATATGATATAATTTTGGTTTTGGAATAGATTTGACCTAATTTTATTAGAGGAGTGTTATTTATTTTCAGACATGGATGACATTGTTATAATCTAGCGCCTTCAGCTCCACACCAACTTACTTTTATTAATTCCTTTATTCTGTCGGTAATAAAAACTTGTTTCTGCTCATTGTAATAACCTATATCTCCTGTTCTGAACCACCCATCTAAAAATGCGTTTTTGCTTTCTTCTTCTCTCTTATGGTACCCTCCCATTACTTGAGGACCTTTGGTAAGCAATTCGCCCTTTTCATTCGGACCCAGTGGCGTACCTAAAAAAATTCGAACGTACTTTTTTTAGTTTAAAAACATTGATTATACTTCTATTTCTAGCGCATAAACGGTAAGTCGTAAGAAAAATTTGATAAAAATTTTTACATTGAATAATTTTTGTTACAAGTGATTTTTCTCTAAGGAGTGTTTGTAAAAAGATATTTAGAGAAATTGATTTTTTTTTAAATTAGGTTTTTTGTAGATTTTTATTAATATTTTTTCCATACCTGTTGGGTCATCTGGTGATACTATTTTGATCAAGGTATTTGGTACGACTTTCCCCACCGATCCACTACTATGTTCTGTCCTTTTCGTACCTTTTGGCGAATAGGTAAGTATTGGGGAGGTTTCCGTCAACCCATAACCTAAAATACAATATTTTATTCATTTGATATTTCTAAAAGTATTTGGTTCCAACCTTGGCAAATATTTGTTTCCCTTCCAAGTTTTTTGATAAATCTTTCTTCGTCTGAATGTCCTAAGGGGGCAGCACCTGATGTTAACACTTTTAGATGATCGAAATGTTCCGCTTTAACATGGGGATGTGAGATAAAAAATAAAACTACAAAAGAAACATTTAAAAATCATTGCATACTCGTACGTTTAGTTTTCTTTGGTATACCACAAGGGTACCACTTAAACTAGGTGTTTTTTATTATATTTACCTAATGGAGGTGCGACGTATATGATGCTCAATGGGTGCTTTTGCAGAACTGATAGATACACTTCCGGTGTAAATTTTTCTATTGTAACTGTTTTTGCTCCGTTATATGCCATATTTAATAAGGATAAACAGAAACCGTAAATGTGGTAATACGGTAGTACGGCCGCTGTTACGTCTTGTGAACTATCTAAAAATAAAATAGCATGTACATAAGAAAAGTGGAAATTTTAAGATTTTTTTTTTCTTTATAGCTCCTGTAGTTTTGAGATTTTAGTTTAAATTTGGAATCTAGTTTACGCTGTTATGTAGGGCTTATATCATTGGGCATGCCAAATGGTTTTAAAAATCTATAGAGTAATATTTTTTTTGCGGTGATGTCCCATTTTCTTCCCATGAACTTTTTTGCGGTGCGCCGCTTGTAAATTCTAAAATACAAAAAAATTCTTTTGTTTAGAAACTTTATGGTTTTCTGTAGTTTTTTGCTTATGCGACCGTTATAGGAAAAAAAACCGACATTTTTCTGTAATTTGCTTAAAGAAAGTAAAATTTTTAAAATGGTCTAGTACAGTGTTTCCCAAAATTATCTATAGCGCGATCCCGTTTTTGTTAAAAAAATTGTTCACAACTCCCTATTTCCCCCTACTCATCAGCAAAACCAAAATAACTACAAAAATAGCGTGCCTAATTTACAAGTATCTGATTGTTTCTCAAATTTTATTTTACTTGACTATTTAAGTTTAAATTAAATACATTAAAAAAGCTCAACAATGATTTTACTAATTGCGATCTGTCCCACTAGTAACTAGTAGTACTTCTGCCAGACTAGCATTTAAAATTAAAATAAATAATAAAAATTCGAGTTCACATTATACACCGCGACATCTTTCTTTGTGTCTACATGCAATACTTTTCCATAGGGTCTTGATTTATTTAATAAAGTATATGTAATGTTAAATCTCCTGTGTATTGTATGATTATAAACAATAGATGAAACTGTTTTTCTATAATTTGGTACCTATACAGAGTGTTCAATAAGTACGGTACATAACTTCAGGAGCATATTTTGGAGCTAAAATAAAGGTATTTTTGTCATATACATTATGTCTTAAAAATGTTTCGTTACGGAAATACAGGGTGTGAAAGTTTCATAAAAAAATACAATTTTTTTAAAAATTTCTAAGATATTTTAATCAAACTAATCGCTGAAAAATATGGAAGGAAAAACGTGTTACGCCACTGTTCTGTCTTTAATGTTTGATTTAGAAGAAAAAGCAACAAAGACAGTAAATTTTTTCATTCTTTCTTTTTATTTTTAATCTCTTTGAACAATATACAACAAAAAAGTTATTTTCAATTTTTCCCAGGTACCTACTTGTTTGTTATTTTACTAGTTGCTAATTGTTTATTTATTTGTATGTCAGACATTAAAATTAATAACTTTACTAACGCTGAAATGGCTCAAATGTACTTCATTTATTGCTTAGCAAATGGGAATTCAGTGGAAGCTAGAAAAATTTATCACCAACGTTATCCGAATAGGGTAACGCCATGTGCTATGACATTTAGAAAGATACATACCAGATTGAGTGAAACCGGTAGTTTTGAGCATAATCGGGTAGTTCCTGGTAGACCACGAACAGTAACAACGCCTGATATAGAAGAAGCTATACTACAGGAGGTTACACAGGTTTTTGGTATCGCAATTTATTTTAACTCAACTTTAACAACAATTATACAACTGATAACATTAACATGTAACGTCTATCATAAAACTGAAACTGTGACGTCAGGTCGTCGACTTATATAGCTTGCTTGATTTTTTCGAACCTTCTCGAAGTGTCGTCTAGACACATAATTTGATTTTCTTTTACTATACGGAGAATGGTCGCACTGCGCAGCTTTTTGTGCCTTTTAAAAGGAGATAGAAAACTCCGCCATTTTGATCCCTTATTACGTGTTGCCTACATCTTGGCGCAATATTTTTAATACGTTTTAATCATCCGCTTCTGCTTCGGAATTGTCAGTTTTCTTGTTTTAATCTGACAGGTTAAAACGACTAAACCGACAATTCCAGAAGTAGAAGCGGATGATTAAAACGCACCTGATATTGTGCTTGTTGCTGTCAGTGTCAGTGAATATTATTTTTGGGATCACAGTTTATTGCTAAAGAATCAGTTAGCTCACTCGGACCAGTTAAAAGTTCCAAAATAACATCCACTCCAGGGATACAAATTCAGGATACGCAGAAGACTGCTGTTTTATTATAGGCGGTTGTCATATATTGTATTATCCGAGTTGCGCAGTGTATAAACTGGAACATTGAGATCAAAAGTGCCAACGCAGAGTGAGCGATCTGATTGTTTAGCTATAAACTGTGGCATAGGAATCAAAATGGCCGCGCCCTATGTTGGGCGTGTCGGGCGTCTCTCTTGCACCGTATAGTAATCAAAGTATGTGCATCTAGAATATTCTTGACGGGTAATGACTTTTCTGGACATTTCTGGAATATTATATCTTCTATTACTTGTACTTTTACTTATGACGACCGCAGCACACTGTAGAGCGATGAGTAACATTCCACTTCTTTTTTAGTTTTTCGCCCCGAATAACTTGATTACTGGGATCTGGTTGGAGCCAACGGGAGGATCTGAACCACGGTAAGGCGCTAACTTCTCAATGTGAACTACCTTGGGTTTACTTCTCGTTGACAACTGAATGCGGTAGATCAGGTCGTTGATTTTCTTGAGGACGGTGTAGGGGCCTTCCCAGTTCCGTTGCAGCTTCTGACAAAGTCCTTTTCGGCGTTTGGGATTGTACATCCATACTGGATCGCCTCTCTCAAAATGTGTCCCTGTGGCATGCATGTCGATTCTAGCTTTTGCTTTATCGCTATTAACTTTCAAACGTTGACGAGCGAATTCGTATACCTTCTCTAATCTTTCTTTTAAGTTCTGTATGTACGTGGGAGGAGTACGCATCTATTCTTCATCAGGAGGCTGCCTTCCAAAAAGAAGATCATGGGGAAATTTCATCTCCCTTCCGGTAATCATCATGGATGGGGTATAACTGGTCGTTTCATGTTCAGAACTTCGGTAGGCTAGCATAAATAGGAATTAAAGTGTCCCAGTCCTTTTGATTATCAGAGACGAACATTGAAAGATACTCACATAGTTCTGTTGTGTCTTTCTACCATTCCGACGGACTGTGGGTGTAGAGGCGTAGTGCGTATTTTCCTGATGTTGTTCAAAATTGATTTTTAAATGCTCTTGTTGCTGTTCTAAATGAGTTAGATGCTCTTATTGTTGCTCCAAATTAGTTTTTAGATTCTCTTGCTGCTGTTTTAAATTGACTTTTAGATTATCTTGTTGTTGTGTTAAGAGGTCTACTCGGGTATTTAGCTGACCTACCTCTTGCTTAAAGTTTTCCTGAATTTGCAGCAAACCATTCATAATTTCTACCTCAGCTTTCCTACGCCTTTCTTTTTTTCTCCTCTTCTTCCTTCCCACGCCTTTCCTTTTCCTCTTCTCGCCTTTCCTTTTCCTCTTCTCGCCTTTCCTTTTCCTCTTCTCGCCTTTCCTTTTCCTTTTCTCGCCTTTCCTTTTCCTCTTCTTGCCTTTCCTTTTCCTCCTAGCAATGTTACACTACACCCTGCAGTGGCCTGCGGCCGTTATAGGAAACGTACAAATATGAAAAGAAGTGCAATGTCACCCATCACACTATAGTGTGCTGCGGTCGTTATAAGTAAAAGTACAAGTAAAAGAAGATGGAATAGTCCCGAAAAGTCTGGAGAAGAAAATTCTTCAACTAGTACCATGAAGATTGCACAACAGCTTCAAGTAAGTGCAAATACTGTTTGGAGAGTTTTGAAAGTTTCTCTGCTTTACTTATACCACATACAACGAGTACAAGCTCTGCTGCCCCGCGACTTTCAGCCAAGGCTAAATTTTAGTAGGTGGTTACTCTATAAAGTTGCTCATATATCTACAATTTTTTGACCCTAATTTTATTTACTGATGACGCAACTTTTTCGCGAGAAGCAATTATTAATTTTCATAATGAACATTTATGGGCTGAGGAGAATCCTCATGCAATAAGGGAAGATCGCTTTCAGCAAACATTTTCACTAAATATATGGATAGGGATTATTGATGAGCATCTTATTGGACCATACTTTTTACCCCCTTGACTGAATGGTGATTCGTATACTCAGTTTTTACACGAAGAACTAAATGGTCTGTTAGAGGAAGTGCCTCTGCAAGTAAGAGAATATTTATGATTTATGCACGATGGTGCACCAGCCTATTTTAGCATTCTTGCTCGCCAATACCTCAACAACACTTTTCCTAATCGATGGATTGGATGCGGAGGTCCTCAAGCTTGGCCACCTCGCAGTCCTGATCTTAATCCCTTGGACTTTTATTTATGGGGACACCTTAAATCACTCGTGTATGAAACACCTGTGAATGAAAATGATTTAAGAAATCGAATAATTCAAGGTTGTTATACCGTAAGAAATACTCCAGGAGTGTTTGAAAGAGTAAGACAATCAATGAGGAGACGATTTGAAATCGTGCGTTTTATCAGAAGGTGGCCATTTTCAACATTTCCTTTGATTCTTTGTTATAAGTGATTATTTATATGATTGTTATTTGTAGTTAAATAACAAAAAAAAATTAAAATGGCTATGTAATTATTCATGAAAAAAGTCAAGGGACCTTTTTCTTCCAAATCAAACAATCAAAAACTAAATACTGAAAAAGAACAGCGGCGTAACACGTTTTTCCTTCCATATTTTTCATATCTCAAGTGGTCTTGTAAATATTTAAAAAATTGTATTTTTTTCTTATGAAACTTTCACACCCTGTATTTCCGTAACGAAGCATTTTTGAGCCATAGGGTATATGACAAAAATACCTTTATTTTAGCTCCAAAATACGCTCCTGAAGTTATGTACCGTACTTATCGAACACCCTGTATTTATAGATTATTATAATAAAACTGGATGGTTGTTATTGTTTTTGTTTTTAGGTAAATTATACGTTCATACATCAAATAACTAGAAACTGGCAAAATATATTTTTTATTTCAGATATAAATATACATTGTATGTTTCTTCTGAATTCAAACATGTCCTTGTTTCCTTCCTTATAATTATTTCGAACTTCTTTTTACTAAAAACTTTCTGTA